ATATGCATATATACATACATATATAATACATATATATATGTATATATGACTGTATGTATGGAGGAAAAACACACGCACTACATACACTCACATCCACACATAACATCCACAGCACACACAACACACACATAACACACACACACAGACACACACAACACACACACACACACACACATACACACACACACACACACACACACACACACACACACACACACACACAGCACACACACACACATATATATAATATATATATATATTATATACTATATATATATATAATAATTTCAGAAACACACACACACACAACACACACACACACAACACATATATATTATACTATATATATATTATATATAATATATATATATACTAGAATGAAAAGGAGAACCAGTGCTGCGGTGAACATCTTTATTGTAATCGTTTCAGAGATCGTAATTCATCTCCATTATCAGTACTACAAATAATGAACCAGAAAACATATAATTAGATGTAGTAAACAAAAGAAAAGCATAGTTCATAAGAAGAGCAACAATAAAATAGGAATAAAATCAAACAATAAGAAAACGGCAGAAAACATAGTGAAAAAAGTGTGTAAGGGTGGGACATACCAAACAAGTGTGAAATGGTGGTTATGGTGATTACACAGTGAACAACTGGATGGCTGTGTTGGCATTCAGCTCGGGTTTCATCTTGTGGGTATGTAGGGATTCTAGGATGAGGAGGTCGAATCTGTTAGATGTGGAAGACAGAATTTTAAAATCACTGTGAGTGAAAGGATGGTCTTCTGTTTGTGAATGATGGCGGATAGCGGAGAAAGATGGTCTGCTCAGAGGTAGGCTGGTTCTTATTGACTTACCCATATGCTCAAGTATTCTATGTTTGAACCATCGTGTAGATGATCCAATGTACCTAGCATTGCATCTAGGACAGTTAAAAATATACACAATATTTGAACATAATTCTGAGGGCAGAATATTATATATATATATATATATATATATATATATATATATATATATATATATATATATATATATATATATATATATGTATTTGGAGAAACAAACACACACACACACACACCACACACACACACACACACACATATATATATATATATAATATATATATTTATATATATATATATATATATATATATATATATAATATATATATATATATATATATATATATATATATATATGCATATTGCTGCTGAGGTTCTTACTTCCGCTCGTTAGCCGCCGTGACTGATACAGTGTGTTTATGTCTTTGGTACTAATGATTGTATATCTGCCTTGTTGGGTGTGTAAGCGTTTGCATGGGCGTACGTGTGTTGAGAACGAGTCCGTGCCTGTATTCAGCGCCACATTTGAGCTGACGCAACCCACGCCCCTCCGCTCGCCGTAAATTGGCTTAACAATAACTACTCTTTTATTTCGGTCAATAAAGTAACGCCCCCATTCAATCTCTGCCGAGGCTTCTGTAAACCACTGAACCTTGACATTATCACAGGAGTCGTACATTCATTCCCCCAGCTTTAATAATAGGAGCGCGTGGTATGGTAAAGGCATTACATTCTTTCATTTTGTATTTGTTTTCTTTTCGGAGAAACTGCGTTGTCATTAATTCATTCATCTTGGTTTCTAAATATTCACCTGCGTTTGCTTCTCTCTCTCTCTCTCTAGTTCTTCTTTGATTCGGATGTCCATTAGTCTGTTTACCTGTTCGCTGTTAGTATGTATTAGTTTGTGTGCGTGTGTATGTGGTTGTGTGTACGTGAGCGTGCGCGCGCGTGTATATGTTTTGTGTTTTGTGTATATATGTATATATATATATATATATATATATATATATATATATATATATATAGGACATATATATATGTATATATAATATATATATATATATGTAATATATATATAGTATATTGTATATATATAGATAGATAGATAGATAGATAGATATAGATATATGTATATATATATATATAGGCATAAATAGGCATATATAGACATATTTATACATATATATATAAATATATATCTATAATATCTATATCTATCTATCTATCTATCTATCTATCTATCTATCTAATATACATACATACATACATACATACATATATATATATATATATATAATATATATATATATATATATATAGATAGAGAGAGAGAGAGAGAGAGAGAGAGAGAGAGAGAGAGAGATAGGCAGACAAATAAAGACAGCTGACAGACACATACTAAATAGATAGATAGACAGGCAGAAGAACAGAAATAAATAGATACGGATATATAGGTAGAGAATATTTTTGACAACTCTTTTCGCATTTTAAAAGTATTTACTTCCTTTCTCACTCTAATCTCCCTTTTCATCCTCCATCTCCACCCACTCTCCCTTCTTCCACCAGACCTATTTATCCCTACCTTCTACTTTTTAGCCTTATTTCTGATTCTCTCTTTCCCTCCCCTACGATCCCCATTAAAAGTTGGGGCGAAAGAAAGGCTCCTAATAACGCAATAAAAACGGTTATAACATTAGACAAGTAGAAGCAAGAGGACGGTGTTCTCGGAGAAAAAGCAAAAAAGGCGTTACTGTAATGAGCTCACGTTGCAGTGAGGTTTATCTTTCCATGGTTACACAGTCAATATATATATATATATATATATATATATATATATATATATATATATATATATATATACATTTGAGGGGGTCATTGCGACCAACAAAAAATGTTTGAAAAAAAAATTCTAATACAGTAAGAGAAAAGGACGAGGCAAACCCAAATAATACATTTAAAAACTAATAATAATTTCAGAGAACCAAGCGCTACTGGAACTTCGTCTGGAAGCAGTACAACACTATAAAGATTAAGTAGCACAAGTTCATAGTATGGCAACAATCTGTAACGAAAGAGGCCATCGCTATGAGCCGTGTAATGCGCCATAAAATCTCCATATTCATTATCCAGGTCGCTGAGGGAGGATAATGCTAAAGAGAGAAAAAAGGGAGACGAGGTTTAATCTCTCGTTTCCTTGCTGGCGATGTTGCATTTGTGTATCACCATTGTCATCATGTTGCAGGAAAAAAAAAAAAACAGGATACGAGGTCCTGCTAAGTTTTTTCTCCCAAAAGAATTTTTCTTTGGTTTGCCGATTCTTTTTAGGGAGAATAAAAGGACCTCTGTGAATCTGAACG